AGTGTGTCATTATACATTAGAATACTTCCATATTTTATTAGAACACACAGTGTTTTTAGAATACCATATAAGTTCTTCCTTTACTTGGCAAAGTCACCTTCTATTACAACTTCCAGGGCATGTCAGGCCCCATTTACTGTTTTCCAAAGACATAGATAATCTTTATATTCTGTGATGTAATCATCTATTTTGCATTTATTATGCTCTTTGCAACTATTTAGTATCCTTTGTTTAATCTAATCACCCCCCCCTCCGTGTATCCTTCTTACTTGGAATTCAATACATAGCCACAAGCAACATGGGGCTGCTTAATCTTAAATTGATTGAAAATTTAAGGTCATTAAAGTTCAACTCCTTGCCTGCATTTATGCACATTTCCACCAGGCAGTAGATGCCTGTGGCTGTGCCAATAGCCACAGGTGTGGAACACCCCAATTATTTCCCTTGTGGAGACAAAATCTAGAGCAGTGCAGATTTCACCCTACAGGGTGTGATCCCTTTGGAAGTCGAATGACCTTTTCATAGGGGTTGCTTAAGACCATTGGAAAACACAGAAGTTTATATTATAATTCATAACAGTAGCAAAATTAAAGTTATGAACCAGCAATGAAATAATTTTATGGTTGGGGATCACTACAACATGAGTAATTGTATTAAAGGGTCACAGCATTACAAAAATTGACAACCATTGGTCTAGAACAATAAATGACTCCAGTGATGTTTCATTTGTATTTTAATAAGTAAAGCTTGCCTGAAATTCAGAGAGTAAAACAGCTGCACTGATCAGTCTTTAAAACTAGGCAATGGTGATACACATTCAATCCCAGTAGCCACACTAGCTTGCCATAGAAAATGGACGGTAGTGGTGCACACCTTTTATCTCAGCACTTGCCATCTTTTGGGGATGACTTCTGCTGCAGTTCTAGCCACAGCAGGTTCACATATTCCAGGGTAGAGGCTTGAGGATTAGAAATGTTAGGTAGGAGGAACAGAGATAAGAAAGAATCACGGAGACACAGAATAGTAACAGGAAGGCAATTCAGGGCCTCCTGCACACTGAGTTCTGAGTGCTGAGTTCACCCGTGTTTAATTTTCCATACATTTTATACCCCAATACAGAAAGGGGGGTGGCAAAAGGCTGCTTTAACATTATACAAAGGACAACCAGAACAATTACTTGCCCCAGTACTTTGAGACATCAAGCCTTATTTCTTGAGAAAAGAATTCATTTGTTTAGTCAGCGAACCCATTCTAGACCAAGTATCCTGAAAGCAGCCACTCCCTAGGCCAAATCTCCTATTGAAGAAGTACGAGTGAATTCTCTGACCTTTGGTCAGGGTGGAGTGGAGCTATCTCCAGGGGCCACCACTTCCAAAACACCAAGCAACCACACCCTAGGTCAGGGTGTGTTTGCCTGAAGTTGTCTTCGAGGACTTTGAGTAAGCTCAAACTCTCTGACCTTCAGACAAGGTGGAATAGGCTCACAGTTTTGAGCCTCCACGTACTAGTGAGGGACGTCCGGAGGAGACAGCTGTCACGGACAGTCTCATTCTAGATTTCTGGAAATGGGATCACTATTTCAGCCTGAGCCATTAGCTGACTGTTTTTTTTTTTTTTTTTTTTTTGAGCTTCAGATTCAACCCCAATTTCTGTCTCTGGGTTTTTATTAATCATGCTGCAATGGACTCTGTTGCTTACTGTGTTTTTTTTTTTTAATTTAATGTTTGTTTCTCAAATGGTATCAGTATTTCCTTTAGAATTTCATTTCTACTTTGTGGTTCTGTATTATTCTTACGTGTAAATCTTTACATTTATTTATTTGTGTGCATGTGTGGGTGTATGTGTGCTCATGTGAGCTGTAAGCAGTAAATGAAGACCAGAGAACAACCTGCATTTGTCAGTTTTCTGCTTCTACGGGGTCTGCGAATCAGCGAAAGTCATCAGGCTCGGCGATAAGAACTTTAGTCACTAAGCCATCTCATCACCCTGGTTTTGTCTTATTCCTGACATATTCTTGACGTAAGTTTGAGTTCTTGTTACACAGCACAGCAACAATGTGTACTAGTAATGGTGGAGAGTATTAAACAATTTTATTTGGACAGGGAATGCAGTTACCTCTGTATTCAAAGATTGTTAGAAACTCTAGTGAATTTAAGTCCCTCCCCCGAGAACCTCTGACTGCCAGGTTCTACCCACAGAACACTCAACTGCAGGACCCTGACCCCACCCAAGATACTCTATCCCGGTTGCTTCTGTTTCTGTTTCTCAGCTGAGCCAAGGGAGCCACTTTCCTGGTTTCTCTCTTCCCAATAAATCTGTGGGAGGTGTGTTATGCAGAGTGCCTTTGGAGTGCTCCTTGGTTCTCAGCTGCCAGGATATCTCTCCATCCGCACTGTAATGCTTACAATGAACCCTGGCCCTGTCAGACATTTCTGAGAAATCGTATTTTTGGAAAAGGAAATGCACACTTTGAAAATCCTTTCCCAAGATCAAGTTATCTTTATGAAATCTTCACAGAGCCCATTGTGAAGAACATAAATACGCCTACATTTCTAGAATCATAGAATTTAGCCTTTAAAAAAATTTGGAAATAAAATAGAAGTGTCTTTATCTGAACTCATGTTCTTAGTTTTAACTAAATGCCATTTCTATAGTACAGGGAGAAAATGGTGGTTCTAGATATTATTTATAATAAATTCTAACTTAAGCAAATAATAATCATGCTACTAAAGAGGTTTTGCTGTTTTTAATTAATTTATTATACTCCCTTCTGATCACTCACTTATGCAATTAATGGGTTTTTAATTAAGATATCATCAAGTCTTTGGCATAACATGAAAATATCCTGGTGTTAGTCTTGCTTTAAATCCAGAGCTTAGAGATAGGGCTGTATGCCTTTTATTCATTTGGAAATGAAGGAAAAAAATAAATAGAAACTCAAAGTATAAGAGGCCAAAGAAACATGAAAAGTCATCCCACTAATAACTCAGAAATGAAACAAGATTCTCAACATTAAACAGCGACAAACCAGTTTTTATTCTAGCTCTTAAAAGATTTATTTAAATTTTATTTTTCAGGCCTGTGGATTGTGGTTTTAAGCCAAACTACATCCCCAGCCCTAAGAATCTTGTAAAATAAGAGGCATCAATACGAAAACTATAGAGAAACTTGATGGGTTGTAATTACACACTTCAATTTTTGGCTATTTTCATTAATATTTTCAAAATAAATGATAGTATTTTGATGTCAGCAACACTTTAGAGTGTAAACATGGTCCCACAATCGGCTTTTTTATATTTAAATGGATTAAAACTTTAACACGCTTTGATTTTACAATTAATTTATTATGGAGCTATTTATTTTAGTCACATTCTTTAATGAAATCTTTCCCAAAGAAGGGTTTTTTTTTTTTTTGTCGTTAATTAATGTGCGTGGGTGTTTTTCCGGCATGTCTGAGCACCGCCTGTGCACCTGGGATCCGGTGAGCCAGAAGACAGCATCAGATCCCCTGGAACTGGCGTTCCGGGGGTTGAAAGCTTCCACGTGGATACTAGGAGTTAAACCTGGGTCTTCTGGAAGAGTAGCCAGTGCCTTTAACCTCTGACTCAGTTCTGAGGCTACCCGAGAAAGTTTTTAGTAAGGGTTCTTCTTGGGTAATTTTTGAGCCTCTTCCCACCACGAGCAATAGGGTCTGGCCTATATGTGTTCCAGTTCGGTAGCATAATCACATTAAACCATGATTTATTTCTTAGCCTTTTGTAGATATTGCTGTCATTGGACGCCACTCAGGATCCTAGGGTGACTTTCACAGTTTCCTTGTTTTTCTAACACGATGTGGGCATAAACCTTCAACCTTAGTGTTTCGCAACCTTACTAAACTATACGATGATGTAAATCATAAATCTTATTCTGCTTCCAGTATTTCTTTTCCTTCCTCGAACTGGAAACACCCACCTTGCGAACTATTTTCCTCCTGGGAATTTATTACCCAATTTTATACTACTATTGCTTGACACAGAAACATGAAATGCCCCTTCCTCCCATATTTGTTACTATTTTGGCAAATTTATTTGGGACAAGAATCTCCTCGGTGAGACTTCTCACAGCAGGTGACTCTGACACGCCCCTTTCCACTGTCATCAAGTNCCCCCCTAGAATTACACTTGGAACACAGTTTAACCTTTACGAGTGTTTAGTCTTCTCTCAGGACTGCGTGCCCAGCCAGGGCCACTGAAATCCACGTACCCCTGTGACAGCTATGGCAGAGGCTTGCGACTAGGAAGTCTGGATGGAGTCGCTGACTCAAAAACTTCTGAGCGCCCAGAACACTGACGTGTCAGTCAGATATGGTCCCCAGGCTGGGAGAAGAACCCGAATCCCACCCTGGACGGAGATGGAGGGTCGCAGAGGAGAAGGAATGGAGATGGAAGGCCGCATTGCCGGAACACCAGCTGACCAGCAGATCAGAGACACAAAAGCAAAGGGAACTACAACAGAGAACTTTTGTGAAACTCGAAATCAGGGCGGGGCGGGGCGGGGCGGAGCGGGGCGGAGCGGAGTGTGCGCACGCGCAGGTCCAGAGCTGGGGGTGGGGGGGGGGGAAGCATCTGACTGCGCATGCGCCTTGAATCAGCCGGTTCCTCTGAGGTCGTAAACCAGCTCTCTGTCATGCAGCGGGATGATTCCACGGTGCCAGGTAAGCGTTTTATGCGTGCGAGAGCTAGTCTGGGCTCGGGGCTCCACCACAGGCCCGGCCCTGCTCAGGAGGCCCTGCCTCCCCACTCCGTCCCTGCTCCGGGCCTTGTGCCTGCAGCTCACCGAAAATCAAATTCCGTTCCCGGACTCTGGTGTCCAGGTCCTGGCCAGCAAGGACCGATTCCCTTCTAAAGCCACCTAGACTTTGTTTTCCTGTCATTCCTCATGGATTCATTTCGATAGAGAAAATTGTTTTTTTTTTTTTTTACTTTTTAAATTAAAACGCGAGGAAATGTGCGACCTACCTCTTTTTGATTGACAGGCATTGGATAATTTGCAGACTCCATGATTGTTGCGTAGAGACTTAGGAGTGCGTAGAGACAATAGAGTGACAAGTGAGCCGTTTTGTATGGTCAGATCCCTTAGTTCCCAGGCTGACTGCACAGGTTTGGCCTAGGCAGTACCAGTTTATCCTGTAATTCAAGACCATTTGCTTTGCTGGATGCCAAGTTTTGTGTGTTGTGTAACTTAACCGAAATGTCGACTGGAATCAAAGGTCATTTGACCACCGTGAAATCAAAGCTGGACCTTTGCTGATTGAGTTATTTAGTTTACTTGTGTAATTCACCCCTTGCTCCAGTGAACCTGCGTTCACTGCTTTATGATTTATGGAAGAATCAATGCTATGTCAGTTGAAGTCAGATTTAACCATGTTTTCTAAGGAAAGATTTAATGGTGCCACACCAGCTTGTGACAGGTTTAAAAAGTATGAAGAAATCAGAGCTGGGTTTAAAGTGTTCGCCTCGAATATGAATCTGTGGATATGTTGAAGTTTTACGAGCAGTTACATTGGGAAACTTCCCAGTGCGAGCCATTTAAAGCATCTCTTCCTGTTTCAGATTGAAGTGTTGTATTTTGCAAAAAGTGCCGAAATAGCTGGAGTTCGTTCGGAGACCATTTCTGTGCCGCAGGAAATCAAAGCGTCGCAGCTGTGGAAGGAGATAGAGACTCTACATCCTGGGTAGTTAACGTTGTAGAATGCACAGAATGGACCCTTTGATGTTTTTGAAATGTGCAAATTATGTGTGTGTGTATATGTGAGTGTGTGTGGTGTAACATAAGGATACTAGTTTTATTTTTCTTGAAATCTTAAAACTCCCATATTTAGAAATGTTTAACAACATTACAGGTAATTTTCTAAAATAACGACACAGTAAAGTGGACGCCCCTAGACTTGTTTATATAATTTACCACCATCTTTATAGCTTCTAGGGCAGAAAATGTAAGTTGTGCCTTTTGTAACCTAAGGTGAGAATTTAAAGATGCTTTTAAAAGATGTTCACTGTAAGTGTTTCTGTCCTTTTCTTTAGAATATTTAAATTTTTCTGAGTATTTTTTTTAAAGAAATATAACAAACACTACATGCTGCTGAGCTTGGCGTTTTATGAAATTTGAGAAATGTCCTTCTGGCATGTGAAAGTCTGAATGTAACTGCCATCATCTTCACCTCGAGCCCTTCTCTGAGGAGATGTAGAGGGAATTTATTTGACAGTGTCCCAGGAATGCCAGGAGTGCTGCTTCTGCCTCTAGACAGGCTTGACCCAGAACTCAGTGCTGGGTACAGAAGGCAACTGCCCTCCCTGTGTGTTCAGCAGGCAATACTTCCCCTGGAGTCTTTCAGATTGCTTTTACTTTCAGTGAAAAGTTGGCCAAACTTTTGTGCCCTTTTACCTACTTTCAGGGACACAACTGTCCTCGTGGGAGACGTCTCAGCTAGACTATCGCTGTCTACACTTAGGCCTGAGAAAACACCATGTTCTGATTAGGAAGTTATTTTCTTTCTCTCTCTCTCTAAAGGTTTGAATATTGGCCTCATCTAGTTTGGGGGTATTTGTTCATTTTCCCCCACCAAACACTCGGCTTTTCAGCAAATAGTAACCTACCACATCTTTGTCATCAAATATGTTCTTCGAGGGCTATACCCTCTACAGAATGAGAGTTAGATTAATACCTTTGTGAGCAATGAGTTCATCAGTGCAGCCGAGGAGATGTGAGGCAGAGCTCACTTTGCCCCTTCTAACAGACTGTTTCTCTTTCAGACTGGCCGATGTTAGAAATCAGGTGATCCTTGCTGTTCGTCAAGAGTATGTCGAGCTTGGAGATCAGCAACTCCTGCTTCAGCCCGGAGACGAAATTGCCATTATCCCCCCAATTAGCGGAGGATAGGGCATTGGAGCCAGCTAGGTGTGTGGTGTCTCTTTTTCCTAGCTAGTCTTGTGCTGCAGGACCCTATGCATGATTGCTTGCATTTGGTTTGCTGTGTCCTTTACTGATACAACATCAATGGGGTAGCTTCACTGATGGTAGGTAGGGATGCACACCGTCTCCCATCTCCCGTCACCTCGGTAGTGAGCGGTTTAATGTTAGCAGGATGCGTTCATTATATTTATTTTACATTTGCTTACTGAGATCTTACTATGCTTGTATTTTGACGGTGGGAAAACAAATTCAGAGAAGTTAAAAAAGAAACTCGTCTTTGGGGGCTGGGGAGGTGGTGCTGTCTGTAAAGCGCTCCTTTGAGTGATTTCTCAGCTGATTTTAGAACCTGCACGCTAAGTTTGGGTAGTCTTGTACAATCAGAGGGAAGGGGACTCCATATGGTGGGAAGCACATAGGTGACCTGTTGGGGTTCTGTGTCATCAGAATCCAAAAGGGTGTAAAGTAGTGATTCTCAACCTGTGGGTCATGACCCCTTTGGGGGCCAAATGACCTTTTTGCAGGGATCACATATCAGATGCCCTGCATATCAGATGTTTGCATCGCAGTTCATAACAGAAGTAAAATTGTCACCCCAGCACGGGGATGTGTAGTTAAGGGCCGCAGCATTGGGAAGGCTGCGAAGCTCTGGTGGAAAGGGGCCAGGCACCCCAGATGGCATGTAGAGAACGTGAGAAATCCCTGGAGTCAGGTGCCTTTTTTATTTTCTTAAAATTGGGTAGTAGGGAAACACCACTGGATTAAGACTTCATGGATTCTCAGTACTTCAGATACATCTTTAATGACTTCTCCGAGCCTTCTTTCACTTTTCTAATCAGATGAACTGGCACAGGATTTCCAGCTACACTTCTTGTGCCTATAGGGTAAGGTCCTCGTCCCTGGCCTCCTCAGCTAGCCTCTCCCTTTGCTCCTGTGCTGCCAGACACATCACACTCTTTATTGTTCCAGAGTCTTGACATTTGCCACTCCCTTTAGCACCCACACCCTGTTCCCATTTCTTCATGTGTCTGCTTCTTATCTCTCGGGTCTGGACTTGCAACATGACCTACTTAGAGAGACCTTTGTGATCCCTGAGACCTGTTTCAGAAATTCATTTGTTTCTATTAAGTTTTCAGTGTGGTAGGTTTGCATTCCTCGTGTGTGTGTGTCTGTGTCTGTGTGTCTGTGTCTATATGTGAATGTACACATGCCACAGGGTGCATGTGGAGGTCAGAGGTCAACTTGTAGGAGTTGATTCTTTCCTTCCCTCGTGTATGTTCTGAGCTTGAAGCTTGGTAGTTAGGCTTGAGGAGCTGCTGAGCCGTCTTCCTGGACCCGTGCTTCTTTGTTGGTTTTCGTGTCCTCTTCATATATGAGCTCTCTGAGGCCAGGAGCCTGTGCTTTTGTTCCCTGCAGACCAGTGCCTAGGGTAGTCTCTGTCTTAGGATTTCTGTTCTTATGATAAAACACCATGACCAAAAGCAAGCTGGGAACAGAAAAGTTTATGTCTGCTTAGAACTATCAGGTTGTACTCTAGTGCTGAGAGAAGTCAGGACAGGAACTCAAGGCTGGAACTGAAACAGAAGCCATGGAGAAATAAATGCCACCTACGGGGTTGTTCCTCATGTCTTGCTCATCATGCCTTGCTTTGTCCACTTTCTTAGACTTAGGATCACTAGCCTAAGGGTTGCGCCCCGCCACAGTGAGCTGGGTCCTCTTACATCAATCAAGCCCTCAAGGCTTACCTATAGCCCATCTGGTATGGAAAGATTGAGGTTACCTCTGCACATAACTCTAGTTTGTGTAAAGTTGACATAAAAACTACCTAGCATAGTATAAAATATGGCATTGCATATTACTGTTTGGTGAATAAATGAGATACAAAAAAGACTTTACACAATATCTAGATTGTAGGTCACAGTCATTACCTTCTTTCTTCCATGACTACTGGGCTTGAGCCAGACTGTGAAGGGCTCCTTGTTCCTATTGAATCATTGTCTCCTCTCTCTTCCCATGTCTTGCTTGAATAAAAGAAAAGGACATTCTAGGTGTGGGACTTGGGTTCACAGTGGTTAGTGTTGTTCTAGGTGGTGTGGACTTGGTTATATGGTGGTTGGTGACATTCTAGGTGCTGTGGGGCTTGGTCGTATGGTGGTTGGTGGTGTTCTAGGTGTGGGGCATGGGCACATAGTGGTTACAAGGAAGGCCACTTGTTTGTCCTGGTCACCTAGAACTGAAATAATCACACAGAAACCATATTCATTAAAACACTGCTTGGCCCATTAGCTCTAGCTTCTTATTGGCTACCTCTTATATTAATTTAACCCATTTCTATTAATTTGTATATCGCCACGTGGCAGTGGTTTACCGGTAAAGATTCTAACCTGTGTCTGTCTCAGGCGGAGGATCCATGGCGTCTCCCTGACTCTGCTTTCTTCCTCCCAGAATTCAGTTCCATCTCCCCACCTAACTAAGTTCTGCCCTATCACCAGGCCCAAAGCAGTTTCTTTATTAACCAATGAAAGCAACACAAAGATCAAAGGATCCTACACCACATAGTGGTTAGTGATGTTCTAGGTGGTGTGGGGCTTGGTTACTTGGTGGTTGGCGATATTCTAGTTGTGGGACTCGGTTATATAGTGGTTAGTGATGTTCTAGGTGGTGTGTGACTTGGCCACATAGTGGTTAGTGACTCTCTAAGTCATGTGGGACTTGGTCACATGGTGGTTAGTAATGTTCAAGGTGTGGGACTCTTTTACATAGTAGTTAGTGATGTTCTAGGTGTGGGGCTCATTTACATAGTGGTTAATGGTCTTCTAGGCGGTGTGGGGATTGGTTACTTGGTGGTTAGCGGTATTCTAGGTGTGGGACTTAGTTACATAGTGGTTAGTGATGTTTTGGGCTTGGGGCTCGCTTACATAGTAGTTAGTGATGACATACGTACAGATGAAAGTGGTGATACGTCAATTGTATCGTATAAGAGAGAGGAACAATAATTACATTCTTGGTGTATATTGGCACATGATATGGACACATCTAGATGATTAGGACCATGTAGAATTCCTGTAGACTAAGGAGGGATAGTAATAGTTGTATCAGTTTGATAGAACTTTGAACTTATCATTCAGATCAAATCCTCCTCTTCCTACCTGATAAAGAAGAAAATTGGACATGGAAACAACATATAAGTCTTATGTGTTACTTCTGACACTCTCGCTGAAGGCTGTTGGCATCTTATTTCTAGGAAAGATGTGGTTGAGGTTGAAGAGAAACCTAAAGACATAATACTGTTGACTGCAGAGAAGCTGTCAGTGGATGAAGTCTCTCAGTTGGTGATCTCCCCGCAGTGTGGTGCGGTGTCTCTCTTCGTAGGTGAGTTTGTGATTTTCTCTGCAACAGAGTAGGAACTAGCGACACTAACTTCTGTGTTAGTGTCAACAGTCAAAGGGCACAGGGTACTGAGTGGCAAACCAGGATTGCCCTTGGAATTGGACAGAAACTTTTTAATATGTATGTAGTGTATGTATGTATGTATGTATGTATGTATGTATGTATGTATGTATGTATTTGGTTTCTTGAGACAGGGTTTCGGGGTACCTTTGGAACCTGTCCTGGAACTAGCTCTTGTAGACCAGGC